CTCCGATGTGCAGTGAAAAGGCGGTATATAAATAAAGATTACTTACTACTACTACTACTGATTGGGCATAACAGGTGCTGCCGCTCATCCTCCACTGAGGCATGAGGGGGCGGATAGAAAGGTCTGATCCTGATGACTCTCGACCTGAAGGTCGAAGAGACAACCTTGTGGAGGAAGGCTGGGTTGGGCCACAGCTCCACCAGACCATCCCCTGCTCCAAACAGGCCGGACTAATCGAGAGAGCGCACAGATCCCCCGCCCTCTTTGTTGACGCCAGAGCCAACAAGAGGGCAGTCTTAAAGGTCACACACTCCAGACTAGCCTGGGCCACCGGCTCGAAAGGAGGCCCCGACAGGCCCCTCAGATACACTCTCAGGTCCCAGACCGGGGGTGTCCTCCTGAGGACAGGCCTCTTCCTGAGGGCCCCCCGAAGGAAACGTTTGACCAAAGGGTGGGAACGGGCCAAAAAGTTCCAGAACCCCCCCGTGTCCTGAGGCAATGGCTGACGCAAATACCGCTAGGGTGCCGGCAGTTCTGCCCTTCTCCAACAATTCTTGAAGAAAACCCAGGACACCCCCAGAGGGCAAGACATGGGGTCCCAAGAGCGAGTCGCGCACCAATCGCCAACACTTTCCATATACAGCCATAGGCTTTGATGGTAGAAGGGGCCCTCGCTCCCTGAATAGTCTCCACCACCGAGGGGGGGAGAGCCAGGTCTACAAGGTTCTGCCTCTCAGCCTCCAGACCCAGTCTGCGGCCTAGCACCGGGCGTGAGTGAAGGGTCCCCCCTCCCTGGATTAGAGCCCAAGGCTTCTCTGGGAGGGCCCACGGCTCCACCACCGCCATGCCTCTCAGGAACAGGAACCACCGGGCATGCAGGTTATCTGGGGCGATCACAATCGGCTCCCAACCCTCCTGCTGGATCCTCCTCATCAGAAATGGCAGGAGACGAGTCGGGGGAAAAGCGTACAGGAGGCCCCCTGGCCACGGGTAATGAGCCAGAGCATCCACCCCCAGGGGCGGATCGTCTGCGGCTCGTAGTGCGAACCAAAGCGGGCACTGAGCATTGTCTGCACTGGCAAATAGGTCGACCACTGGGCGACCAAATCTCAGCCAGACCTTCTCCGCCATATGCGGGTCCAGGGACCCCTCTGGACATTATGTCCGCCCCTGTGTTCCGATCCCCCGGAACATGGCGCGCTCTCAGGGACTGCAGGTGCACCGCAGCTCAGAGCAGAATGGTCGTTGTCAGACGATGGAGGGAGGGGGATCTCGTGCTCTCGTGCCCCCCTGCCTTTTCAGATACGCCACCACGGTGGTGTTGTCCGAACGGACCATCACATATCTCCCCTCCAGACGGCGGGCAAAGTGCGGCAGCACCCTGCGCACTGCCTCCATCTCCAGCAGATTGATGTGGCAAGTCGGGCCTGACCAAGAGCCCCTCACTGAGCTCTGGTCCAAGGCCCCTCCCCATCCTTCGAGAGAAGCGTCCGTGAACACCTCCATGTGTGACACGGAACCGACCAAGGGCCCCCGTCCTGCAGTAGAACAGGTGTAGCAGGCCAGTTTAACCCCCCGTATATTTTATCATTATTAGATAAAACAAGAGGGGGGTTCATCTAGCCTAAGGGGGGTTAAAATGGCCTAGGCCAGAATAAACCCCGGGGTGTATTCTGGCCTAGGCTATTTTAACCCCGGGGTGTAAACCGGCCAGGGGGTTTAAAACGGCCTTTTACACCGGGGTGAGCCAGAATCTGATCTTCGATGTCACGGTCGGAGGAACCACGAGCATCCTCCCCCCGTCCCGCGATGGGTGGAGCCTGAGACGAGGGTGAAGCTCACTTGCCTGTCCTCGGATAACGCAGCTCGGAACCGCACCGAGTCCAGCTGCAGATAGATCACACGCTGGGCAGGCTGCAACTTGCTCTTTTCTCTGTTCACTACAAGAATCCAGCGAGTGTGATCCGCGGCCATCTCCCTGGACCCGGCCAGAATTAACCAATCGTCTATGTAGGTTAATATCCTGACCCCCGCACGTCTGGGCGGCTCCAGTGCTGCCTCTACGCACAGGAGAATGTGCGTGGAGTCAGAGCTGCGTGAGACAGATGAGCCCAGACCCTCTGTCTCACTAATAGCAGCCTGCCGCTTATGCCCGGGTGCTCAGCAGAGATGGAAGTCTGTCCGTGTAGCGCTGCGTTAGACGGAAGGACCCTGGTCTTTTCTTTCTTCTTTCTTAAAAAAGTGCTAGACCTGCTAGTACCTGGAGCGGTGGTCTGGACTAGCCTCTCCCACTGGTAAAAGCCTGACTCTTACGCTTCTCTCCCCTCCGGGAGGATGAAGCGCTAGCCTCCCTAGTGCCTGGAGTAGTGATCTGGGCAATAGCAGTCTGACTCTCACGCCTCATTCCTCTCTGAGGGTGAAACGCTAGTCTCACTATTACTTGGAGTAACGGTCTGGACTGGCCGCTGCAGACCGCTCTCCACCAAGTGTGAATGAGCTGTTCATGAGACAACACTGCCCTCTACCTGTGAGGGCCTGTCATGCAGGAACATTGGAGACTCACACATAGCTTCTAGGGGGGCAACCCAGAGGGACTGCGGTCCCTGCGGGACCCGCTGTGTGAGACAGAAAGGGCACCAGACCCCCTGTCCCACTTATAACAGCCTGACTCTTGCGCTACACTCCTCTCCGAGAGGATGGAGCGCTGGTCTCACTCGTATCAGGAGCAGGGGTCCGGTCTGGCCGCTGTGAACCACTCTCAATGTGCCTGAGCTGTTCGTAAAACAACACTGCCCTCTACCTGTGACGGCATGAGATGCAAGAACATAGGAGTCTCAGAAAAAGAACAAGAATAATCTTTTCTTCATTGAAAAGATTATTATATATATTATTTTACCAGTTCCTGGACCGTGCAGTACTGGCCATACCCCAGGGCGGGCCTCTCGACCGCCAGGGGTTTGGGCCAGTCACGCGTAACGTAGTGGAACACCGGGTCAATAAGTGGGCGCAGCGTAGGCACGAGCCTCTTCCTCCCTCGCTCCGGAGCCCACACCGAGGTGAAACTCTCTCTGCCTGAGTGGGCTGCGGTGGGAGGGAAACTCCCTGCGCCTCACTGATAGAAAAGAGGCGAGGCAAGCGGCCGAGCAGGAACGGACAGGCCCCTCGCTCCATGAAATGGCCTCCTCCCGCGTGACGAGAGACCCCTAGTCTTTGTCAACTTGGTCTCCACAGCACAAACTCCCACTGCCTGGGTGCAGGAGGCAGGTCAAGAGGGACATAAAGAACCTCAGACTCCTCTTCCTGAAGAGAGTCTGGGCAAGTCTCCGCAGCGCTAGCATGAGCCACGCGGTGCTCTCTCTCCTGACTGGGGAGAAAGAAGCACACTCTGTGGGCAGCGCTCTCCTCTTCTTAGATAAGCTTACCTGGGCAAGCGCTGCACTTCTTTGTTCGACGCCGGAGGGCGAAGTGGAACTCGGATGAACAGCAGAAGGCAGCAACATCTTGATTCTTCAGAGTAGAGTGATCTCTCTATGGCGCCAGAGTTCAAAGTGGTTGGCACGGGCTGTAGAGGATTATTTATAGATGGTACTGGCACGTGATTGGAGCATTGAATTCTCTCTGACGGGAGACTGGGAGCCTCTGAGTTACCCATAGCGTAGCCTTCTAAGGGGCGGAGCACCATGACGTAGAACTTGGTTTGGATTTTGGGACAAAATTACAAATTTATTTAAAATATATAATATTTTTTATCAGAGTCTTCTCCAAAATATTCCTATTGAATCAAATCAATTGCAACACAAATATTTAAGGGATATATATTTGTTTTAATGGAAATAATTTTGAGACCCCCGTGGGGGGTTATTGGTCTAGAGTCATTTTGGGGACCTTTCCTCGCCTGGTTTTGTGTGTGTAAAATTGCTCATAAAACAGTCATCTTTTGATGCAGAGTCAAGCAGTATACTTTGTTTTTTTCAGTACAACCTGGGGTTTTAGAATATTCATATTTTGGAGCTGTCATATCAATTATATAATGATTATGGAATCATGAAGACAAAGAAAAAAATGAAACGGAAAATCAATTTCACAAAAATGTATTGAAAAAACACAATGAAATGCTATAAACAACTTTTTAGACTCCACAGAAATGTTATTTATGGTCTTGGGGATAAGGGGGAAAAATATTGAACCAGTGACTATTATAATTTTTTTTAAATTCCACTATAAAAGCCAAAAACGCTGTACTCCTCATGCCCTTCCTCAAGCAGTTTGCCTATGAGGCTGTGGTTGCTTCTGTATCACAGCTGTAAAATACGTAAAACAAAACAAACTAAGACAAAAAAATAAATAAAACATCTAATTTATATATACAAATACATTATATACACATCATTATATACACATAATATCATTTTACTGTATTTATTATTGTCTATTCTCAATAATGTGCACTCCTGGCTCCTCTGCGCTGCTGTCTATGCAGCAACAAGTACACACAGGAGTGAGAGATCCTACTCTCTGACGATCTTTGTGCGAGTCCCCGTTTGAGTAAACAACTTTACAATTGGCTGTGTGAAGCTCACGGGGCACCGCTCAAAGATCCGATTGGGGGACTGACTTTCATACACACGCAGTTTATCTTCCGTGCATCGCACAGGCAAACCGAACTTGTTTCGGAAAGGCTGGAATGTGTACTTCACGGAGGGAAAAAAAGTAAGTTGCTAGCTTTTACGGTTTGCGAGTAAATTGATCACTTGTAAAACATGTGCGCAACCATCGAGTTAAAATATGTTGCTTAAAAAAGACAGATCCAGCAATGCACTGGAGGGCACACGAGAACCACGTTAAATATGTCCATAAAAATAATTTGGGGCTTTTTGTGTTGAAAAATATTTAAAAAGTAAGTAATTGTGCTTGTGGATCTTTATACCTGGTTGAAATTGTGAGAAAAGTACAAACTCTCTTAACTGTAAAATAAATGAATGTGCTTCTTCTTTCTCCAGGCCTGCAAGAGGTCCGTACTAGCGAAACACTCCTCAGCCGGAGAGTGCGACGTCGGTGGCAGCTTCTCTTCACACTCGTCAACAATCCGTCACTGCTTGGATCCAGGAAACACTTTCAGACTCAACCCTGTGACACGCCAGCTAACACACCTCACGCATCTAATGGCACGCCCACCACCGCCAATACAGGAAGCACAAAGTCCCACGCAGGAAGTAGGAAGGACAAGAAACCCGACTTGGAGCTGGCAACCGAGGCAGACATTGAAGACCCATAGATTTACAATAAATAAGAATTCAAAATGATTTAGTATTTCTTTTAGAAAATACATAATAATTAAGATAATACTTGAATTAATATTAGAAACACAAAATGTTTGTTTTTGTCATTTTTTTTTTTTTGTTTAATTTGAAATGATTGTACTGATTTAATAAAAGAGCTTGCTTTTGTTCCTTTCCATTGCATTTTCTTTCGCTTTATCCGTTGCAGCAGTCTAAGCAGAAACGGCCAGACTTTCCTATCCACACACACTTTTTCTAGCTTGTCCGGGGGGAGCCAAAGGCATTCCCAGGCCAGTTGAGAGACATAGTTCCTCCAGGGTGTCCTGGGTCTTCCCCCAAAGTCTCCTCCCGGGGGGACGTGACCGGAGCACCCCCCCAGGGAGGCGACCAGGAGGCATCCGGAACAGATGCTCGAGCCACCTTTACTGGTTCCTCTCAACGTGGAGAAGCAGTGGCTCTACTCCGAGCTCCTCCCGTGTGACTGAGCACCTCACCTTATTACTTAGGGAGTGCCCAGCCGCTCTAAAAAGGGAAGCTCATTTCGACGGCTTGTATTCGCGATCTTGTCTATTCAGTCATTACACAAGGCTCATGACCATAGGTGAGGGAGGGAATGAAGATTGTCCTGTATATCAGGAGATTTGACTTTCGGCTCACCTCCCTGTATGCGGACGACAACATCATCCGCAAACAGCAAAGATGAAATCCTGTGGTCTCAGAACTGGACCCCTTCTGTCCATAAAGACAGTGAACAGAACCGGTGACAAAGGGCAGCCTTGGCGGAGGCCAACCAAGCCCCGGCGATCCAAGATGGCGCAATATTCAAATGAATGGTTTGTGCTCACAGGGCATGTGCCGGCACGGGCGCTGACATATTAGTGGAACTTGCCTATATTTGGGCATTGTCTGGTCCTCCCGGTTCTGCGCAGTGGAGGTCCTCCCATGATGACGCTCTCATGCCCGTGCACAGAAGGGCTCAGCCGCGCTTTCACCAATCAGAGCTGCTGATCAGAGCGTAGCTTGAGTGGGAGTAGAGCGGGTGCCAAATGAGCAGAGTTTGTGGCACTAAAGTGTGTATTTAAAGAAAACCAAAGGATATAAGAATAAAAGAAGTTCAGGATGACAACGGATAATAAAATACCCACAAAATCCAACCTTTGTAAAATCTGTAGGTTCTCTGTCAGCTGAGGTCGAGCTGTTTTAGTTTACATTGAGTTCTATGGGGAAAATGTCTGGGTAGCCCACGTGAATTTAGTCTGCTGTACCGCAAAAATCCCGCGAGTACATGGGTCCTTCAGCTCCAAGCTCAGTTATTATAATAAATCCATGAGGAGGACAGTAAGTTAGTACCAGGAACAGTACTAACTGACAGCCGGCAGTGCGAACGCCAAGACAGTCCTACAATATCCAGAGACCGTAGATGGTAAGGATGCAACTCATCCACTCCCAGAGTCTTGCCACAAAAAGAGGTTGCTATCACCTTAGTGACGTCAGCCAGGGAGATGGAAATTTCCGCCCAACATCCTCAGCCTCTCGAACGGAGGTTGTGACGGGGGATTGAAGAGAACCTCGAAGTATTCCTTCCACCGCCCAACAATGTCCCCAGTCGAGGTCAGCAGTGCTTCCCAGATCTATTGTACATGTTTTTAGTGGTAGGGGAAACTGGAGTACCCGGAGGAAACCTACGCAGACACGGGGAGAACATGCAAACTCCTCTCAGAAAAGCCCTGGTCCGACCGGGATTTGAACCCAGGACCTTCTTGCTGAAAAGCGAGAGTACTATTCACTCAGCCACCGTGCCGCCCAAAGAAGAAGTAATTTGTGGACGTAGCAAGTTGTGTTATGTGCTTACGAATGTGTTAATCTCTATGAATAAATGGGATTTTAGAAATGCATTGGGAAAGTGAGGAACATGTTTAGAAAACAACTATAAATCCAATGTAACTTTCTTTCTTTGTGTCACTAAAGCACAGGCACAGTGAGAACACTTCGAAGATCAAATGTATCAGATTCTCAACATCAATTCTTACCAAGAGCAACTACGTCTTTCTCTTTGTCTTGACCGCCTGAACATTTCAATAGTGTCAAGGCAGTAGTGGCCTTGAATTTTGTGATATGTATTCTTTCCAACCATTCCATCGTTCATGAATTTGAATAACAAAGCAATCTTTGCGTAATTGTTTCCAGACAGGAGTATATTGGTGGATAGATAAGATAAGAGAAGAATTCCTTTATCCGTCCCACAGTGGGGGAAATTTCGATGTTGCATCGCACATATAGGACAGTAGTAAGAGCACACAGGGAGCACACACAATATATACACTATATACAAATAAGTAGTAGCTATGTTTCTTAACTAAGAAAAAAGTCTCCAATCCTCATACCATACTTTAAAAATGGCTGCGAATTCCAGCGCCAGACAATGTGACCAGAAGAACACATCTGGTTTGAACACCTTTAATTGGAGTAAAGAACAGACAAAACAATTTGAGTGCACAATAAATAATACTGCACTTCAAAACCATGTATATACATGTACATGTATATACATGTATATACCATGTATATACATGTAACCATGTATTTTACATTGCACATGGAGAAAGGCAATTGAAGAGTCTCAGCAAGTTGTAGTAGGCTTGAATGGTGGGCAAGAGAAGCTGGTTGGCCAATGGTATCCATTCCAGCTTCGGATGAAGGCTCATCATCTGCCCTACCCTCCTCTTCGTTTTTATCCATTACATTGATGTCATGAACTGTTTCCTCAGCAGTAATGTCGTCATATTGGTGGGTATTTATGTTAGTGCTCAGAGCACCGCCACTACTACATATTTTTTTAACACAAAAGAATGAACAATGTATTATTACAAAGCCTGTTGACTTGTAAAACAGGAAAGCACATTCTGACTTACCAAACACAAAGTGGAGGCATATAGTCACTGTCACTGTCACTATGTAGTCCCTTAGAGGACATCCAGACTATATATCCATAAAATTTGTACTTCACTAACAAACAAAAACAATTACTTACCTTGCATTTGTGATGTTGTTGAACTCTTCTTCATTTTTTCTGCTGTATTCAAATCCAAAGAGGTCATACTAATAGAACAAGACGTGGCATGATTACTTGAGTAATTTACAAAGTCTGAGTAACAAATTAGTGGAACAAGTACCAACCTTGCATCAAGGTGCTGCAAAACCTGGAAGTTTATTGAGTTTCTCTCAGTTCTTTCTCAGGTTTTTTTCAGGCAGAACAAAATCAGGATATGGTTTATACAGTCAACGTTTACGTCACACATGGAAAAGCATACGTGTCATCTTGAGACATCAAAAGAACATAACATGGATACACAATGGTAGTAGACGCACAATCGGGTCGTTGTGACCTACGGAAGGCCAGATCACTTGTATAGCTATCTAATTCTCATTACGGTCTTCATCATCATAGGCGGCGGTGCAGCAAAGAACGTGATTTGCAATGTGTTGTCTGCCACCAGTGGTTGTTTCAGCGAAGAACAGAGAATAGGAAGTGCCTCCGCAGACTTCCTCTGGCTCCTTTCCAGTCTCCCGAATCTGGTCTGGGTCTAGACCCAAACTTATGGGTCCAGTCTCGTCCACTCTCCTCTCCTGTCTGGTGCAATAAGGGAGACTCCCTCTCTGAAAAGAACACTTTCAAGGCCATACTTTTATGTCCATTGTTTTGCTGCAAACTTGCTGACCTCAGACTAGTATGAAAACACATCCTATGAAAACACTTTGATATAAAACGATACAATATCATGATTAAATATAGAATTTCACTATTTTATTAAATGTTGACACACAGACAACAGAAAATAGAAGAAAAAATACAAAATACAAAATACAAAATCAGGATATGGTTTATACAGTCAACGTTTACGTCACACATGGAAAAGCATACGTGTCATCTTGAGACATCAAAAGAACATAACATGGATACACAATGGTAGTAGACGCACAATCGGGTCGTTGTGACCTACGGAAGGCCAGATCACTTGTATAGCTATCTAATTCTCATTACGGTCTTCATCATCATAGGCGGCGGTGCAGCAAAGAACGTGATTTGCAATGTGTTGTCTGCCACCAGTGGTTGTTTCAGCGAAGAACAGAGAGAGGCATAAGCTCCATTATGGGGGAGAACTGAGGAGCAGCTGAGCAGGCACAATACCAGAGATGTATGTATAATAATAATCTGAAAAGCCTATTCAGGATTTAAGCCAACGACAACAATGGGTCGATGATATGATGATATGATGATAGAATATGATATATTCTACCTGCGGGTCAATCAACAACCTGTACTTACAAGTACCTGGGTGTTGACCTGAACCACAAACTGGAACGGACTCATAATACTGACGCCCTCTTCAAGAAGAGCCCGAGCTACCTCCTGAGGAGTATTGTCAAAAAAGGACGTGACTCAGAATTTGATACAGAAAATAAGGCCAAGATTCAAAAGTTCAAATCATCCATCCATCCATCCATCCATCCACACTTAATCCATTTCTGGGTCGGGGGGGTGGCAGTCAGAGCTGCACCCAGTACACACAGCACCAGCCCCTCACTGATCCTCCTGCAGGTGGTGAGTCCACAGGAGCTGAGATCTTTCAGTGGGGGCTTTTAGGCAAAGTGGGGTTAAGTGTCTTGCCCAAGGACACAACGACAGCAGACATCAGTGGGAGTCGTGAAGTAGGTCTTACAGTGGGCTCGAACCCACGACCTTCAGACTCAAAGGCCGATGCTCTACCAACTGAGCTACTGTCGCCCCAATCAATAGTACTTAATTCTCTTTACAATCAAACACTGATACAAGACTCTTGCGCTCCTATACTTCCCGATCTATCCCTATGAGCTGACTAATTAACAATCTCCTATCAAACAGTTTTATGTAAAATGTGTAGAAAATAGGAAGTGCCTCCGCAGACTTCCTCTGGCTCCTTTCCAGTCTCCCGAATCTGGTCTGGGTCTAGACCCA